TGCCACAATTCAGTGTGTCTGATTTGATGACACTAAAATGAACTCAACAAAAAAAATCCTTTCCTTTCAAAGTGAAGCAGCATTCAGTGAACTGTGACAGAAACGAAGCATTCATTAATGACAGCAATCACAAGTCTCTGAGAAATGGAGAACATAAGGGATTGTAAGTTCAGAAAACATTTTTCATGCCTTGAAAACTAAAGTCAGTCAATAAATAGATGCATGTTTTGTTTTGCTTTTCTATTTGATATTAATATTTTGGACATTTGTTCTCTCTACCCTTCAGATAATTGATAGAATATCAACAGACCTGGGAGCCTGAACATTCGTGTCATGCTTCCACTGAAACATGATGGTTGCAGTGCTGCTGGGCTAAAGTGTTAATGGAGCACACTACAGTATTTGTACCCTGCCCTTCCCTGGTTTCCAGAATGTGCTGATTGGTTCCCTGTACTGCCTCGACACCACCGTCCTCAGAAGGAAGGCATCAGAATGGAGAGTTCATTCCCAGCTTTGTTTCAAACTGCAGCTTCTGTCTTTTCTGGTAGCGAACTCGCACACTGAAATAAACAGAGTGGACAAACCAGGGAACAGATGTTCATGACAGGGAATATGAGAAAAATCAAACACTGATCTGATCACTAAATAATCATAAATAATACTAGCTGTTTTTCAAGCAATTCAAAACCGTCATATCAGAATCTCATTTTCTCCTTATACTTCTTTTGTCATCTGTTGCCTAAAAATCTCTTTGGAGGCCAAGGGGGGATATTTACTAAGGTTTTGTGGGTTCATTTTTTGGCATTAAACAGTCAAACTGCACATGTTCATATTTACTAAGGAGCTGCACCACAGAAAAAGAAGAAAAGCGGCACCACTGGAATTTGTACATCTGGTCTCATGCAATTTGTATTATAAAGCATTCCCATTTAGGGAGAGAATGAAGATTTATACAAATAGCCTCAGCACCTGACTGGCCTCTGCTGTGACAGAGGGAAGTGCAGTTGAAATTCAAAGCCACGAGAAAGCAAGTGTGAAATATGCAGCACTATTCTTAGCGTGGCAGGTGTTAGTCATCTGGGATCTCATCTTAACAACATATTTGAGGAGGGAGAGGGTGTTTGTAAATCACATCGCTCACCAGATGAGATTGTTATGAACTTGTACAGAGTTTCAGCTCAAATCATGCTTCAATTACTGAACAAAACCAAAGATAATTTGACTAGCAAAAGGCTATGTGATTGCATGCAGTTAAGTCCTTATAAATACCATGTGATTGAGATATAGTATATACAGTATATATAGGCCTGGGAGCTTGAGGGTCCCGCACAGTAGCTAGCTGTTCCTAGGACTGCACTCTTCTGGACAAAGATCTCAGATGTTGTTCCTGGGATCGGTTGGAGCCACTCTCCCAGTTTGGGGGTCACAGCCCCCAATGTTCCTATTACCACAAGGGACCACTTGTGCCTTCACCTTCCACATCTTTTCTAGCTCTTCTTTCAGCCCTTGGTATTTTTCAAGCTTCTCATGTTCCTTCTTCCTGATGTTGCTATCGCTTGGGATAGGGGTTATGCGCAACTTACTTCCGTATACTGCAAAACAGAATCATCCGTTTCCGGTTTGCGACTAGTATGAAATATGGCACTGTTCTACTCAAGATGTCTTCACTACCAAAGATGAA